CCTTGGTGCCACATAAAAACAAACTAATGTATCCACCTAAAACTAACGATAAATAAATATTTAAAAAATAAAAAATAAAAGAAACAGATTATTCCACCTGGATCTGGTGGCACATGCCTGTAATCCCAGCATTTTAGGAGGCTGAGGCAGGAAGATCACAAGTTCAAAGTCAGCCTTGGCAACTTATCGAGGCCCTAAGCAACTCAGTGAGACTCGGTGAGTTGAATACAAAAAGGGCTGGGGATGTGACTCAGTGGTTGAGTGCCCCTGAGTTCAATGCCTGGCACTGCCCCGCCAAAAGATTATTCCAATAAAAAGCTCTCTACATTATTTCTATATACAGCCTGATGAAACATCTACTCTGCTGTCATACACACCTTTAATTTGCCTTTAACACAGTGTATTTTTGTCTCTTTTTTGTTTGGAAGCTCCTCAACTCAACATTTACTGAATATAAATTATGCGGGGCACCACACATTATACTAGGTGCAAATAAATAATTCCGTGTCCCTGTCCTTAAAACCTTACAGTTTGGTTGAGAAAGATAATCTGAAAATAATAACAACAAAGTGAAGTGATATAGGTACTATAGTGTCTCAGGGACACTAAGACTCAATTTATTCTTTCTAGGTATGGTATTGAATCAGAACTTATAGAAGGGACTTACAGAAATATTTTTGCATCTCTAAAATCCCTCAAAAATACTTGGTAAGGGCCATCTGCAAAGGTGGCATATTTAGATCTCCTTGACTCATCTGGCTTTTATTTCTATCCATTTCAAGACTCTACTCCCAAGTCTGCTTACTAGATCATGTTAACATAGGAAATGCTCTACCTCAAACTGTTCACTCTAATATTCAACCCATGACCACAATATTTAATCTTTTTACATTTTTCACCATAATTTTACCTCATCAAATCCTCCACTTTATCTCAGTTCATTTTCATTTATTGTATTTTTGCATATTTCTATTGTTGTAATTATCCAGCATTCATTATTATATAAAAATGTGTCTGCTTTTTCTATTAGATATAACTTTCTTTAGAACAGATAATAGATTTTCTTTCTCAGTCCTGCATCCTTAACATCCAGCACAGTGCCTGACCCAGAAATACTCAATAAATGTTTAGTGAAGGAATAGAGTGTTCTGGTCATTTTTGCCACTACATTATGAGCTCCCCAAGACAGAAACTGTATTACCTGCATACTACCTATAATTCACACCAGAGTGCCTCACACACATCAAAAGCTCAGGTAGTATTTATTGAATTAGGGCCTTTATAAGATTTTAAATGTTCCCTGATTTTCAGTATTATTACTTTCACAATAATTTAAGTTAACCACATGGTTATTAAGCAAATGTAAAAAGTTTATCACAAGAGACAGAAAGGCAAAATAATTTATGAAAGAGCACTATGTAAAGTCAGGAGGCCTGGGGGCTGAAGGTGTAGCTTAGTGGTAGAGTGCTTGCTTAGCATCCATGAGGTGCTGGGTTCCATTCCCAGCAAAACACACATGCAGTTAGGAGGCCTGTACTTCAACTTTACCTTTGCTACTAACCATGTGATCTTCAAATAACCATCTCTGAAAGTCTTAATTTTCTTCTATATTAAAAAAAGGGTTGATCAGAATTAAGAGTCTAGATCATCATCTCCAACTTGCTAAAAAACCTGTTATACAAGTAAAATATACAATATAAAAATTGAGCCAGGCTAGGCACAGTGGTACACACCTGTAATTCCTAAGACTCAGGAGGCTGAGGCAGGAGGATCACAAATTCAAAACCAGCTCAGTAACTTAGTGAGACCCTAAGCAACTTAGTGAAACCCTGTCTCAAAAACAAAAAATAAAAAGGGCTGGGGATGTGATTCAGTTGTTAAGTGCCTATGGGTTCAATCTCTGGTACAAAAAAAAAAAAAAAAAAAATTGAGCTGGGTGTGGTGGCACAGACCTATAATCCCAGCAACTTGGGAGGCAGTGGTAGGAGGATAAGTTCAAAGCCAGCCTCAGCAACTTAGTGAGACCCTAAGTAATATAGTGAGACTCTGTCTCAAAATAAAGGTAATAAATAAAAAAGGGCTGGTGGCTCAGTGGTTAAGTGCACCAGGGTTTAATTCCTGGTGTGTACACACACAGGCACATATAAAAATTGTACATGCCTTTGTGAATTGTTTAGGTTAAAAAAAAATTCCACTTTCAACTCTGTTTTCATAACTCATTTCCCAGAGAATCCACTCTCGAGTGTATCTCTAAGGCATTCTTTATGCATAAGCTAATGCAGTACTGCATCAAGATTCTTGATTATACCAAGTGGACAGGTCTATAAACTCTCATAGAAACTTGCCAAAATGAAAGAAAAACTATAAATTCTTTGATTATCTATTCAGAAGGACAAGAGTAGAAAATTAAAACAAAGTATTTAAAATTTTATGTGTCACACTGTATTTATGTAATATGTAAATAAAAGGCATATAATGAGAAAACAAACTAAAGGATGTTTGATCCAGTGGTAGAGCACTTGCTTAGAATGCTCAAGGCCCTTGAGCACCACCAAAAGAAAGAAAGAAAAAACAAAAGATGAAAGAAAAACAAAAGACAAGAAAAAGATTCCAGATATAAAGTTCCTTTACAGGAAGAAATGTAGAAGGCATGGGAACTGTGGGTAAAGGAGAATCATATTGATGTTACAACCACCAGATAATACAAAAAGAGCCATAAAATTCACAAATTGTAAATAAAATAGCAAACACACGTTTTAAAAACACAGAGCTTAAGGTTAGAACCAATTGTACAAAAGGAGGTAGCTGTTTTCCTATACTAAATTCAGTCCAGAGACAAATATGGATTAACATTAGGTCCTCAAGTCTCTTGATAACAGCATCCTCTGAAGATCTACATCTAAATCTAACCAGACAAAAGTGAAATAATTATATTTCCAACCAGCTGCCTCTAATAGTGGTGAAAATATATCACAAGATGATAGTTATCCTGATAATTTTTTAAACTTTAATTTCTGTACCCACATAAACAACATAGATTTCATCTAGACAGGTCCCCAGTTTTACCTGAAGAGTGTAAGACTAAACTGCTCTAGACTGCAAGGAATGCTTAAAAGATAACAGGAGCCTGGAGAAGGATCCTCTTCTGTATGTCTAACACATTATTCAAAGAGTCCACTTTTTAAAAAAAGAGTAAAAATACAATTCTATAACATGTAAATTACAAGTCTAACAACATTCAACCATAAATTACCTAATGATAATTATGATATAAACAATTAACACTGTTATAGTCTCTACTTGGTCTTTACCTGGTCTTTTTATCCTGATATGATGAATAAAAACTAAAAGTACAATTTAGAATTATTTGGAGAGAGAGAGGAAATGATAAATTATTTTTTATTCCATAATATAATTTTAACACAGTGTACATATAATTGAGTAAGGTTTGTCAAGAAGTTGAAGAGAGTTAAGTCCAGGAATCAACCTGTAGTATTTTCATAAAAGAAGAAATGAGTGGGCTGGGGTTGTGGCTCAGTGGTAGAGTGCTTGCCTACCATGTGTGAGGCACTGGGTTTGATTCTCAGACACAGCATATAAGTAAATGAATAAAATAAAGGTCTATCAAAATCTAAAAAAAAAAAAAAAAAAAAAAAGAAATGAGTGAATTCTAGAACTACAAGCTTTACCAAATCTACCTTATTTTTAGAAATTAGACACACATACAGAATTAAGGAACTAAACTCATTCTGGTTTCCTGAACTCTTTAGGTTAGGAGGAACAATATTTTCTGACACCAGAAAATGTTATGTCACCCTTACTTTCATAAGTCAGTGGCTGAAGGTATGGTTTTCAAATTTGAGTAGAATATCCTTTTGTTTTTTTGTTTGTTTACTTTTGGGTACCAGGGATTGAATTCAGGGGCACTTAACCACTGAGCCACATCCCTAGCCTTTTTTGTTTTTCATTTTGAGACAGGGTCTCCCTAAATTTCTTAGGGCCTTGAGAAACTGCTGAGGCTGGCTTTGAACTCGTAATCCTCCTGCCTCTGCCTCCAGAATTGCTGGGATTATAGGCATATGCTACCTTGCTTGTCCAGTCTTCAATTCTTAAGGGAAAAACCTATTACTAGAAAGATTATGTTAGAATACAATATAAAACTGAGTATAATAGCAGTGTAGCAGTTTCAACTTATTTACTTTGGAGTCTGAAAAGTGTTATGATCACTCCATTCCCACTAAATCAAATGAAAATTTCCAAGTTAGCTGACAGGCTGGTTTAAGAAGCTAAAATTTTGCAATGGTCAACATGACCCAGAGGTAGATTGTGTGCTACTTTCTGACTACAAAGGCTCAATTCAGTACTCAGGACATTTCATCTCAAGCGCAAAGTGACAAAAATCAAGTGGGAATCTAAAAGCCTCCTTAGAACTTCTTCATTTGGCAGTGACAGGACATCAGATATTTTCACTACTGCCCTGAGTGACCTTAGCTACTTGAACCACTGTCTGTATAAAAACATAAGTTTGAAAAAAGGAATTCTGTGATGCCCATATTAAATTTTTGAAAGAAAGCCACTAAGATATGATCAATAATTACTCCTTGTAATTGACCTTAAAAGCAGACTATAAGAGTTAAAGCCTCAAAGCTGGCAAGAAAGCACATCTCCAAATCATTAAATTTTACCCTTTAGGATTTTCTTGTAAAAAACAATTCGTTTTCACCAAAATAACCATTTCAATTCTAAGGAGGCGAAAATGAGGAAGTCAAAATATGCATTTACTTTCTTTCTTGCCACACACCTTCCCATATAATAAATTACTACCGCATTGACCCATTATGGTAACCATTATTCCAAAGGGCCATAAGCATCACAAAAAGAGGAGCCATCATTGGTTCCTAATGATTACAGTAAAATGGGAAAATGCCCTCCCAGTAGATGGTCATCCTGCATAAATAACCCCATAATAAAAGTATCCTGTTCTCCGAGTTTCTACTTACCCTCCGAAACGTCCTGGGGGTTAGAAGTCCGATCACTAGCAGGATCCAGGGCAACAGTTGCCAGTGAAGTGGTGGCCCCAGACATCTCACTCATGGGCTCACTACGGCTTGTTTCAGGCACACTCTCCCGGGAGCTAAATCTTACTCGAGAACTAGACCGAGAGCTGAGATCCGGGCTGGTATCTGACAAACCTGGAATGTCATCAATCTTTGTTGGTGTCACCATGAACCGAACTGAAGCCATTTTGGTGGTGGTTTCTGGAGGATGCATTTTTCTTTTCCTTTTTAACAAAGAATAAGGAAAAACCTCACAAAAATCTTCCTCCCACACTAGCTACTTTTGATTGCAAAAAATAGAAAACTTAAAAAAAAAAAAAAAACCAATTACCTTGATTCACATCCCACAAAAAGCCCCAAATAAGAATCCCACGCAGAATTCGAGCTTAGAAAGTGCACTACCAACAGCTGAAAATATTTTTTGAGAAACAAAAACATAAAAAACAATGTCAATCTTGTGTAACTTTGCTCCTTCAGAATGAAGAGCTTCCTAGCTATCTCCTCTGGTTCAGAGCTGAGGGCTCAGTGCCATGGTCTCACAGCTGCAGGTGAGGCCTTCTATACCCCTCAACCCTGGGCTTCTCTAGAGCTAGTCTTTTATCTGGTGAGTGTTCCACAGTCCTAGCTGAGCAAAGTGCGTGCAGGCCCACCCTAATCAGGAGAATACAGAGTGGATCAGATTGAGAAAAGGTGTGCACCCGGCCACCTGTTGTGTATCAGGTGAATACCCCCCAGGTCTGGCTGGGAGGAGGTGTGTGAAGAGCCACCCGATGTTTTTTAAGTCGATAATCCACTTGGGTCTGGTGGAAGAGGTGCGCATGCATAACGGGGAAAATAACCCACACACTGTATGGAGAAGAATGAGGAGAGAAGGGTGAGAGAACAAGATGCAGGGCAGAGCGGATTCCTGCCTCCAAGAGGTTGCGGGGGTGGCACGCCCGCTCTTCTTCAGAAGAGAGGTCCTTGGGATCTGTAGGAGGCAAACTAATCAAGACACCTCGGACAGTAGTTCGGGGTCGTGGCAGATCGTTGCTAGTCCGCTGAGCCCACAGTCAGCTCCCTGGGTCTCTGCTGCGTGACAAGACGCGCCACCCCTTGGCCGCGAGACGCTTTCTCGACCCCGGCGCAGGTCAGCCCAGTCTTCCTTGGGTCCTACCCCGACAAGACGGCCACGCAAAGTGGCCCTGACTGGGCAGGAAGGGGCGGCAGGGCTGAGCAAGACGAGGTCGCAGGTGCGGGCTCCAGCGCCAGCTGATGCGGGTGCGCGCGCAGCTGTTGTTTACTAGCCGGTAACTGTTTCGGAGCCGTGGTGCTTAGGAAGGCTCGGGCTGCGGATAGGGCGCCCCCTCCACGTCCAGACGCCAGCGTGGCTGTTACGTGACCTCGCCGCCCCCCGCCCCGGGCCCGGCGGGCTGTGCCCGCGCCGCCGCAGCCCTCCTTTTCCCTCCCCGCTCGTTCCTCATTCGAGGTTAACCGTCCGGAGAAGCCAGGGGAGCAGTTGGAGGGCGGCACCGTCCCGCGGGCTCCTGGAGCCCCGCCCAGAATCTGCAGCCAGCACGGCGCGCAGCGCGCCTGCGTCCGCCCGGGCTCAGCGACGAGGGGCACGCCGGGAACTGCAGTCCGCCGCCCTCGAGGCGTGCGGGGGAAGTTACGCCTTCCTGCGGGTCACTGAGGTGCACACTCGCTCCTGAGACCTCAGAGAAGCAGGCGAGGGCCCTCAGACTCAGGTCCAAGAGCTATTTCTCTTTTCTAAGAGCGTCTCTGACAATCATTTGTGAATGCTTACACTTAAGCCTCCCAGTACCTATTCTTAGGTGACCCTCATTGTAACTTTTAGGGAGAGTTCTTTCTTTTATACTTGGGATTGAACCCAGGAGTGCCCTATTACTGAGCTACATCTCAGGCTGGCCTCTAACTTGAGACCAATTCGCTGAGATTACAGGCGTGCACCTCCATGCCTGGATATGTAGAGATCTTTCTAAAACACTGTATCACATTTACACAATTCTGTATGCTTCATCGCCGCCCCTGCCCCGCCCCCATGTTTCCGTCCTACTATTCAAAACTTTCTATGTTCATCTACTGGTCAGATTTAAAATTTTATTAAAACATATGTCTTTAGAAAAATCATTGAGATATTTTCTCTTGAATCAATTCCCAATGTTTGTCCTATCACATTTACTGTCTCTGGAATATTTTTCTTGTTTACTTAATGCATAAATGGCGACTTAATAAATATTGGTTCATCAATGTTTTGAATTTTTTCTATAACTTTGATCAAAACGTCTAAACTTCAGAAACTAGCCCCCTGCTTTGCCTGGGTTCTTGCTCCTTATAAGTGTAAATATTTAAGTAGTGTCTGCTTTAAGACCTGACCCTGGAAATTCCGTTTTATAAAATGACTAAGTCCAAAATCTAGTTAAAAAGAATCTGGTAACAAAAAGATAAATTCTTATTTAAAATCTAAACCTGGGGCTAGGGCTTAGTTTGGTGGTACAGCGCTTGCCTGCTATGCCGCAGCACAGGATGGGGAGTAGGGGGATAAAAATTTCCTCAAACTCAATTCTTTACAGAGCCTGATTTTTAATTTAGGCATACAGCTTTCTTACTTGAGGAAGCAAGAAATCCATCTCCCAGATGGATCATATTTTTTCCTCAGGCCCATTATTGCTGATGCAAACCTCCTAGACTTTCTAGGAGGAATGCTGGATCTTTGCCTTCCTTGGTACCGGGAACTGAATCCAGCGGTGCTTAACCACCAAGCACATCCCCAGCCTTTTTTATTTTGAGACGGGGTCTTGCTAAACTGCTGAGGCTAGCCTTGAATTTGCTATCCTCCAGTCTAAGCCTCCCCAGCTTCTGGGATTATAGGAATGGCCACATTGCCCGGTTTGAAATGCTGGATTTTTATACTCAATTTTTTTTTTCTTTATCATAGCCTACTTGCATTTCAACCTGCTTACCTCTAACCAGCACTAATCAAGATCTATAAATAAGGCTTGGCTGGGCAAGGCTGTAATTCCAGTTATTCTGAGGCTGAGGCAGGAGTATTACAAATTCCAGGACTGCCTGAGCAACACAGAGACAGTGTCTCAAATTTTTAAAAAATAAAAATAAAAAGGGCTGAGGATGTAGCTCAGTAGTAGAGCACTCCTGGGTTCAATCCCCAGTACAGCAAAAGAAAAAAAAAAATCCATAAATCTCATGTTAATACCCAGGGGACTCTTTTTTTTTTTTTTAATTAACAAAACTGGGGATTGAACCCAGAGCTTTATGCATACTAGGCAAATGCTCTACCATTGAGCTATATCCAAAGTCTTTTTATTTTGAATCAGGGTCTCACTAAATTGCCCAGACTGGCCCTGAATTTGGGATCCTCCTGCCTCAGCCTCTGGAGTAACTGGGATTACAGGGGTGCTCTGCTCCTAGGAGATCTCTTAAACCCTTGGTATAGTCATGCCAATTTGCCTTTTCTATATTTATTAGGAATATGTCCAGATTAAATTATTTTTATTTCAGTCTATACAACTGGAGGCATAGAACAAAGCTAATCTTTTGTTTTTTTTTTAAAAAAATATATAAGATAAAAACATAATTAGCCAGGTGCACTGGCACAGGACTGTAATCCCAACTACTTTGAAGAGAGGAGGATCCAAGTTCAAGGTCACGCTGGACAACTTAGAGGGACCCTGTCTCAAAATTAAAAAAAAAACAACACACCTGTATCCCAGCAATTCAGGAGGCCAACGCAATAAATTAAAAAGAAAAAAAAAAAAAAAAAAAGGGCTGGATGTAGTTCAGTAGTAGAGCATTTGCCTAACCTGTGAGGTACTACTGGGTTCAATCCTGGATACCAGAAAAGACAATTTGGACTGCATTCAATATTGAAAAAAAAACTGGCGGAATTTACCTATTAACTTTAGTTGTTAAAAACTTCCACTGCAGATCCTTTTTCTAGTCATCTGCAGTCTTCAACACTTCTTTTTTTGTTTTTGTGATCCTGAGGATTAAACCCAGGGCTTGCTGGGTGCAGTGGCACAAGCGTCACCTGTAACCCCAGCAGCTTAGGAAGCTGAGGTAGGAGGATCACAAGTTCAAAGCCAGCCTCACCAAAAGCAAGTGCTAAGCAACTCAGTGAGACCCTGTCTCTAGCTAAAATACAAAAAAAAAAAAAAAAAAAGGACTGGGGGTGTGGCTCAGTGGTTGAGTGCCCCTGAGTTCAATCCCCAGTAGCCCCTCCAAAAAACCCAAAACCAAAACAAAAATAGGGTTTCTCTACCACTGAGCAACATCCCCAGCAATTTCTTTTTTTTTCCTTTTTCTTTTTTTAAATTTTGAGACAAGATCTAAGTTGCCCAGGCTGGCCTGAAACTTGTGCCTCCTGCCTCAGCCTCCTGAGTTTCTGGGATTATAGGAGTACACCATCATGTCTGGCTAACACTTCTTTATCCCTTTAACAGGATAAGATTAATTTTAAATCTCTCACATGAAATGCTAAAAACCCTGTAAATGAACCACCTAAGAAATAAAATTGCAGACAGAGACAAATATCTCATTTCACCATTCTTGTACTTGAAAATCATGTCTTCTGTTAGTCATGGTCCAAATCCATAGATTTTTTTCTATTTCCCATCAGCACTCAACAAATATCCTGAACTTTTTTTTTTTTTTTTTGCCTGAATGGTTATTCAGCAGAGTCCAAGACAAACACATCTACTCCTTTCCAAGGTTAGTCTTCATAAATGACATGTGTGCTAATTTAAGTTACATCTGCTTCTGGAGCTTTAAGTGGTTGAAAAAGATTGCAGAATTACAATACAATCTCCACAAAGCAATTTAAAATCAGTGGCATTAAGCAAATGTATTCAGATCCAGTATCAAAAGCCAGGAATGAAAAGACTGGGAAATAGTTGATTAACTTGAGGATAGGAATAAGCAAACTAACATTTCTTGACTGTCCATATAATATTTTACCTATCACTCTAATATGAATTAATATGATAAAAAAAATTGCTCCATGATTGAAGTTCAAGTCCTAAGAAACTTCTAGCACTCTTTTTAAAATTAAGCCCCAACAGTAGTTTGAAAAACAAAAATCCCTGCTTGAATCTCTGATACTTCATCTTTTAAATTAAAATATGTGGGAAGTTCCACATAGTTCCTAGCTGCCAAAGAGAAACTAAAGGTAGGTGTGTGTAAAAAAACAACTAGAGAGAACTAAACCTAGGAGTATGTCCAGAGGGAGAACAAATATGTTTAATGTCATTCCTATTTATATCAACTGGACAAACACTGTAGATACATTAAGATCCACTACCAAACCCTTTCAATTTCAAAGCTGGGAGAGAACTTAGAAAATAGAGAAAAAGAGAACTAAATAGGTTAAGTAACATTATCAAAGTTATACAAAGAGAGGTGAATAATATGAGTGGCCTGACTTCCAACTGACTGCCTTCACTCTAAAATACGTCTAAATATTATATTTTTTAAAAACTCAGTTTGAAGCTAAACATGTTAAAGGAGCAAGAAATTACTTGGATATTTTTCAGTGAATACTGACATTTCTGGGAGTCTTTCTCAACCTCTTCTCCATCCCCAAACTGTCCTGTCATTCACTGAACACTGCACTACCGTTACAGGCAATAACTGAAATTTTTCTTTCAAGTGGTCTTTTTATAACTACCAGTGGTAGTCTCTCCCTCATCCTCCTCGCATTAAAAATAAAAATTACCAATCTTTTCTTCAACAAAACAGAAAATGAGCTCTTTCAAATCATTTTATCTTTAATAACGTGGCAATAATTCAAAATATGAAAAACGTGTTCCCTTTAAAGAGGATGCCACCATGATGGCCTCAAATAAGCATGATTAAAGGCAATCGGAGGAGACTGGATTCCAAAGGGCATGGGTGGTTGGGTTACGGATTCTTCGAAACCGAGCAGGCGACAGACGAAACATGAAATTTAAGGGACCCTCAGAGAACAGGGCGCGGTTGCTGAGTCATGAGCACCTTGAACCGTTTCTTGATGGTGATTCGGTGTCGCGAGTATTTGTCGTCCGGGGAGAACCGAGCAGGATGGGCTGAGCAGGTCTGTTGTCCCATAGGGTCAAATTTCTGCTCGAGGAAAAAGGAAAATGATCTCAATACAAGAGTGATGAAGTAACCCTGGGGATACAGCTCAATTGACAGAGTGCTTGCTTCGCATGCACAAGGCCCTGAGTTCAATCCCCAGCACACACACAAAAGAGTGATGGGACTTGGAGAGAGCAGCACCGAAACACGACAGTCAGATGGAGAAGCTGCGCACTGCGTTTCTACCGCGCCTCGGTGCCAGACTTTCTGGTACCCCGCACCCAGACAGGCAGCTCGGAGGCTGGCCTCAACCGCTCTTCCCACTTACGAAAAATGCTTCTCGTCATGCCCACTTACAACGTTTCCTCTTCTTACCTTCAATGTGTAGACTCGATCTCCTTGCTCATTGAGATAATACTGGAGAAACATGACCACGTTTAAACCTGAGGCTCCAAGTCCGTTTGCAACACGTGTCTGTCAATTTTCTTCCTGTGTAGCCGGAAGACTGCCCCGAGGGATGCCGGGAAATGTAGTCCATTTTTTTTGCCTTATATTCAACAGGCCAGAAGAGGGCACAGTGGTGCAGGATTTGGCCTGTGACGCCAGTTGCAACCTTGCAGGCTTTCTAAGACCCATAAAGTGTGCCCACTGTGTGCCAGGTACTAGTAGTCGTTTGAGAGAGAGGTAGGGATGGATGTGAACTGAATATTGCTGTGTGTAGTCCTGTCTTTATCTAAAGATGCACACCCATTTCAGAGGCAGTGCCTTGCTAGTGTCTAGAGAAACAAGGGCTCTGGGATTCAGAATCCTTTTAACCCTAGGGAAGAAAAAAGATCCCACTTTTACATCCGGTTCCTCTGCTTCATTTCAAAGTATTGGCGGTAAAGAGTGCATGATGGGTATTCGATATTCTGCAAAGTGAAGAGAGCGTAAAGTTATTTTATGAAGTTGGTGATGTTCTAGTAGTCGAACCAAGATTCAAACTCAGGCCTCTTTACCGCAAAATCAGCGTTCTTATAGTGGTGAGTAATGAATTATAGTGTCCATTCTAGTAGTATATCAAACTTTTAAAAGAATGTAGAAATTCTTCTTATAGGATTCTAAAGAAATAAAATTTGGAACCAAGTTGTCATTTCAGAGATGATGGCAAAGACGTTGGGACATGTTGATTTTGTAACCAGAAAAAACTGAAAAAAAATTTATTATTATTATTATTATTATTTTTATATTGAGACAGGGTCTCACTAAATTGCCCAGGCTGACTTCAATTTTGAGATCCTCCTGCTTCAGTGTTCAGAGTCGCTGAGATTATAGGCTGTAGGCATGCGCCACTGCACCGGGCTAAAGAATAGAGTTCGCATTTGCTTGTAGTTGCGTAAAATATCTTTGCAAAGATTCACAAGAAACAGAAGATATTGGTTTCCTTTGGGATAGAGAACTTGGTTACAGGGGAAAGTAGTGGGCAGAAGACCTTGAGGTATATTCATTTTGCACAGTTGACTTTTGAACCATGCTAATGTGCTACCTATATAAAAACTGTAAAAATAAAGCAAAACAAAGGAAATCGGGGTGCGGTGGTGCATGCATATAATTGCAACGACTGAGACTGAGGCAAGACAATCACAAGTTCCAGGACAGCGTTGGCAATTTAGCTAGCTAGGTTCTTTTTTTTTTTTAAAAAAAAAAGGTGGGGGAGAGGAGACAATTGGGAATGTAGTTCAGTGGTAAAGAGTCCCCCCCATACACACCAAATTCAAACACCGTGTTGAGGGGAGAGCAGTAATTTAACAAAAAGAAGTACTTTCTGGACTTGCAGTTTTAGTCTACTTGGTTTTATTAAGGCTGTGGTGTCTGTGGACTGCAGACCTTATAGTAATGGGTGTTTGGGGACTACAGGGCAGCTTTCAAGAAAGTAATATGTTCACAGGAGTTGAAGGAACACCCTGAATCATTTGAGACAAGTCTAATTTTAAACAATTAGTTCCCTGGATCCTTTAATTTTCAGAGTATGTGCTTCGAATTGGTTGAGAAACTATAGTCATCCTTGAATTAAGCCAAGGGCTTATCCCAACCTGCTATTAATAGGAAATCAGTTACAGAACTGGGTGGGATTGAAGGGCATAGAATTAGATATGTTGGTGAAGAATTGAAGTACACACAGTTGAAAGGTAAACTGCACTGTGTTTGGCATTTGAGAAGGGATATTTCAAATTGCCCTAAAGAGGTACACATCAATGTGTTGCCAATTCTAGTTTGGAGGAAGTTCTAATTTTTGCTACTTACTAGAACCCTTTGTGGAATATCTCCCTGCCCCCACTCCACCCCACAACTCCCTCCCCTTCCCCCACTGCAGAATACTTGAGTCCTAGATTCTAGTTCTACTTTGATCAAATCTTTGCCCTCCCTTCCTTGGATACCTGTGTATCTGTTGGTGCCAGTCACTCTCTGGGACCTGGACCTGTCTCATTCTGGAGGCTTCTAGACAGACACAGTTAGTGCCCAAACCTGGGAGATGGCTTCAGATGGAGGTAAGTTTCAGGTGGTGGGGGAGGATCCCTTCCATAGGCTAACATCCTTGGGGATTCAAATTTGCCCCTTCATCTGGGGACCAGCTCTTTAGGCTGATCTGGAGCTACATGAGATACTAACACCTCCCCACCCCTGCTGCCACCAAAGGCTAGGGAAGAAGATTTTGCCATTAAGACTAGGGACTGAGGAAGGAAGAGGGCCTCCTTGGAGGTGAATCAAGGCTCCTCAGAGGAAACATTCTGAGTATAGGGAATGGATGGCAGTTAGTTAACAGCTTGATTCTCTGAAGAGGGACCACTTCAACATGTATCTGTATGGTGAGGGCAGAGCCATGTGCAGCAGCAGTGGCACAGAGAAGATCCAGGGAAAGGCCCAAGTTCCTATATCTTCTTTAGGCAACTGGAGCCCAATCTAGAATCTTACCTTGAGAGAATAGAGCTAGGGTTTCTCTTTATGTCATGACAGGAAGTGGGATGATAGGTGTGTGTGTATGTGGGTGGGTGTGGGGGTAGAAGGAATTAGGGCAGGGAGAATTAGCTAAAAAACTGTTCAGAGGTGTTATCCACTATAGGAACACATACTCCTGAAATTGGGGCTGGAAGGTATATAACTGCCCCTGCTCAGAGCTTTACAATTCCTTCCATCCCCGGAGGTGGCTTCTCTTTCAGCTCAGGGTGCAGTCTTTATTGATTTGTCAGGGCCAGAGGCGGTGGGTCACTTCAGCCATGGTGAAAGCTGAGGCTTCCCTGAGATACTCTTGGTGTGTCTACCTGTGTGGAACTCAGGCCTTACACCTATTTCATTGTGGTTGGTACTTCATGGCAGGTCTTGGCCTCCTGCTGTATGGCTAAGATGAGTTTGAATCTAAGTTTGCTCATATCCATTTCTACTTCCTGGTCAAGAAGCAGAAGTGGAGGGTTGTTGGTTTGTTGTTGAAGTATTCTTTGTAAGAAGGGGAGGAGGGGGCTGGGGTTATGGCTCAGGGGTAGAACACTTGTCTAGCACATGTGAGGCACTGGGTTTGATCCTCAGCACCACATAAAAATAAATAAATAAAGGTATTGTGTCCAACTACAACTAAAAAATAAATATTAAAAAAAAAGAAGGGGAGGAGAGTAACTTGAAATTAGGCTACTTATGTTCTATTATTATTATTATTAAAAGTTCCAGAAGGTATAGGTCACATTAATTCAGTACACATTTGTGTGCTTATCCCTGGTTTCCTTGACTGGAGTCCACATGGCTTCTCCTCTGCAGAACCTGTGTTCTGGACTTCAATTGTCCTTAGCACAGACTCAATATCATGTTCCTGTTGTGCCCTAAGTTTCTGATATTAGGAGCTCTAAATAGAAGAACTACAGATAGTCTGCATCACCATATTTTAATGTGTCCAGCATATTACTTACAGCTCTAGATACCTCCTTCCCCCTACTGCCCTCCCCTCTCCATTTCTTGGCCCTTATTTAATCCTCTCTAGTTATCCCTGACTGTTATGTAACAAAATTTCTGGGAACCAAACATCCAATCCACACATCTCCTTCTGGGAACTACACTTCCACAGAGCAGCTGGGAGCAGGAGGTTTGAATGTCTTGTTTGGAGTTGGTGGGAATGGTGTATGCTGGGCAGGATGTGCTATAGGACCTGAACTTCATGAGTCCTAGAGTCAGTGCTCCTCATCATAGATTGCATCTTTCTTCTGTTGCTTTAGATTAGGAAAGGAAGTGAAGGAGATTGTAAGGAACATCAGGAAAAGGAAAAGGAGGAGAGGTTGGGCCAATAATCTTTTTGGAACCACTTCCTTCTTAAGGGCTCTGTGGGAGGAGCCAGAAGTTTTCTCTGACTAGTTTCTTTACTGCACAGGTGTCAACTCAGATCCTTGTCTTAGTAAATAGCATATGGGACTCGCAGGGAAGGTCTGCCAGGAATGTTCCTAAAGAAGCTCTCAGAGGTAGTGATGGTTTGGGCTTGCCTTTTCCTGGCAGACAGGGGTCTGTGTGCCTTGTTGAAAGAAAGCAACTTCTCTAGTTCAGTAATTCTCAACTGGGAATAAGAACATCAAAATAATTTGGGGACTGAAATCCCAGCAACTTGGGAGACTAAGGCAGGAGGATCACAAGTTCGAGGCCAGCCTCAGCAACTTTATGGAGACCCAGGCAACTTAGTGAGACCCTGTCTCAAAGTAAAAAAATAAAAAGGGCTGAGGATATGGCTCAGTGGTAAAGCACCTCTTGTTTCAATCCCTAGTACCCCGCCCAAAAAATCACTTAGGGGACCAAGTGATTTTAGGAAGCAAGCTGCACAAATTCATCCATATCTCTTCCTTCACCTGTTGAGAATCAGTTCTCTGATTTTTTTTTTTTTTTTGTGGTGCTAGATTTTAAACCCAGAGTCTCATGCATGCTAAGCAAGTGGCACTATCACTGAGCCACATCACCAGCAGTGCTCTGATTCTTATTCTTTAGGGGTTCTCAGATGGCCTAACTTCTGGCCTCCTTTGTCCTACTTCATTCTCTCTTTTTCTTTGTCTCAACAGCATCTCCACTTCCGGGACCAGATGTGACTATGAAACCTGGTGCTGCCCTATCTCCTTTTACTGCGCTTCCCTTTCCCCCACCTACTCCTGGCCCACCAGACCAGCCACTCTGGGAGCCATCTCCACAGCCCTCCCTGACTTCTGCATTCTCTCCAGGCAACCCTCTGGTGCTCTCTGCTTTCCCCAGCCCGCTGTTGGTGACTGGAGAAGCCAGCTGTGGCCCCAGTGGGGCTGGGACTGCGACTGGGAAGGTCATTGTCAAAGTCAAGGCAGAAGGGGGACCAGCTGAGCCCTCTCAAACTCAGAACTTCATCCTTACTCAGACAGCCCTCAGTTGGATTCCCTCAGGTGCTCCCTGTGGGGGCTCTGAGGGTCCTCCTGCCCAGTACATTACAGCTTCTAATATGAAGCCCATCCTGCCCACTGAAGCTGTTGGGGTGAGCCAGGAGGGTCCCCCAGGCCTTCCTCAGGCTCCACCACCAGCTGCCCAACTGGCCCCTATTGTGCCTCCAGAAAAGGCTTGGCCAGGGCCTCAAGGGGCACTTGGGGAAGCAGGTTCTGCATCCACCCAGAAGCCCTCACTAGGTGACCTGGCCTATACTTCCAAGGGCGTTTATGAGAATTTCCGACGCTGGCAGCGCTACAAGGCCTTGGCCCGGAGGCACAAATCCCAAAGTCCTGATGTAGAAGCTCTTTCCTGCTTTCTTATGTAAGTGAGGAAACCTGAGATGAATTATCCTAGGGCTTTTAAATAAGGAGGACTTTGGGATGAACATGGGGGTTAGGCTAGGGGTTAGGACATGAGAGTGAGGAGATGCTTGAGAAGGAAAAAAACAGTAAAAATCAGCCTCTTTACCCTCTTCCCAGTTTACAACAAGCTTTCAGTTGTCTTCTTTCATGTGTGTTCAGGCAAGCATTTTTATGGTAATCCTCAGCTTAGAGACATGTTTCTTGTCCAGAAAGCAAGGAGCAGTGATTGGAGCTTAGGTCTTTCTCTCCAAGTATCAGGGTCCTCTGGGTCTATCTCACTGCCCTTCAACATTGAATTGTACTATACAAACCAGCGGGAATGAGGAGTGCTGGGCTCTGACTCATTCCTGTAGGGGGAGGAGGTCAGTGCTCTGCCAAGCAAAGGACTCTTGTGTGTGCCATTCCCCCACTATACCATTATACTCAGAAGTCAAGTTGAGATAGGATGCGGAGTTTGCTAGGCTTCACAGATTTGTGATCATGGGAAGGACATTTCACACCTTTGCCCCCAGTTTTCTCATCTAAAAAGGGGATAATTGTACCTACCTCAGAAGGTTGCTGAGAAAATGAAAAGTGCTTGGCAGAGTGCCTGGCACAAAGAGTGCATTATTAGATAGTAACTATTATTATTATAAAAAGGCAATCTAAAAGAGGAAAAGAGCTCACAAAAAACCAAAGTGTCCTTGCTTAAGAGTGAGCATATGTTTGGCCAAGGAGCCTGGGGTCATAAGCTGTTTAGTTTATAAAGCAGTCATTAGTCATCTGGGGAATTTTTCCTCCTTCCCAACCACACTGGCTGTCTTTCTCAATTTATGCAAACCACTATATAACACATACCCCATCTTACTTACTGGACTTTGAACAAACTTAGTTACTCTTCCAGTGCCATAATTCCTAAAAGAATCTCTCCCTTCAACTTGGAGTCCTAGATAAGCTAGTTTATTGATTTCCTTCTATTTCAAGTTCAGAGTTTTCTCTCGGAAGCTACCAGGTGGAATTTATAAATCTTGAGCCATTCTGGGTTTTCAAAGTTTGCTTGGGATCGGTTCACTTTTGGTCCTATCCAACTTCTGCTGTCCATGTTCAGGGACCCTCTACAACAGTTACCTGGGAAGCTGGTTAAATGCCCAGTTCTGGGATTATGGGGGGCTGCAATCCATGTTAACAAGCTTCCTCAGGTGACTCCGGTGCACAATAATGTTTGAGGACTCAAAGGAAAACTAGAGAGGCAAAGATGAAATCCTTACTTTAGTCTGGGCTCTCACTCTCTTCTGGATCAGAAAGGGTTCAAGAGCCTTCACAAAGTGAGGGTCTAATATTATATTGGAAGGTCTGAAGTTGTCTGAAAAAACCAATGAAGAAAGATATCAAACATCCTTTAGGTAGAGATTCATTTGGATTAGTGAATGTCTTTCAAAATGCAAGAGGCTCTGGACAGGGAGAGTTAAGCATACTTTATAGTGAGTATCATTCATTTAGAAACACAAAATATTTTCTTTGTAACATTTAGTTGAAGACAGCACTGTGAGAATTAGGGGTAGTTGCCTTGGTTGATTCAAAAGGTGGGGAGAAGTATCTATTTTATTTTGATTTACAAATTTCAGTGGGAAGAGAGGTGAATATAGGACTAGATGGGAGGTTGGGATTCTGGAAATCTCATCAGAAGTGGGACATGGCAGGGCCTGAGGGTCATGCTGGATTTGATGAGGGGCAGGGGATATGGACTGAGGTGTGCAGGGGACCGACTTTTGGAATGCGACTGACCCAATGGGGGTTTTAGCCCAGTGCTTCGCTCTCTGGCCCGCCTGAAGCCTACCATGACACTGGAGGAGGGACTGCCGAGGGCTGTGCAGGAGTGGGAGCACACCAGCAACTTCGACCGGATGATCTTTTATGAAATGGCGGAAAAGTGAGTCTAAATTTCATTCTCTTGAGGGGACTGTGTGGCCGAGAGTGGTGGGGCAATGGAGAGTGCCTGTGTCTAGGTGTGGCAGAGATTATTAACAGGGGAGCATAGGCTAGGATATGAGTCCCGTGGATCCTTGCTTCTCCCTCCACCTTGATTCTGTGGATTTTTCTATTCTACCTATGTTCTCTTGAAAGCATCATCCCCTCCCCGCAATTTCAGATCTTGAGTCTATTTACGGACATTCATATTGAAGGTCTTAGGATGGGATTGGAGCCCAATATGTGTAAAAATTTCATGCTCAAGGGACTTAGTAATGAGGAGGTGAACCCTACTGGGTAGGTTTTCTCAGCTGTCCAAGTATCAAGTGGCTGTGATATAGGACTTTGGGACCACCTTTCTTTTGGAAATAGTGGCACAGAAAATCCTTTCCTCTTCATCCCAGGGAGGGACTAGTTCTGAAGAGTTTGGTTAGGGGAAGCCAGGGTGCTTGGCTCTTACCATTTGTCTAGGACATCCTTGGTTAAACAAACAAACAAACAAACAAACAAACAAAACCCCCCAAAACAAAACAAAAAAACTCTTAGCTGGCCTCAGTGGCACATACCTGTAATCCCAGCAACCCGGGAGGCCAAGGCAGGAGGATCACATGTTCAAAGCCAGCCCCAGCAGATTAGCGAGGCACTTAGTAACTCAGTGAGATCTGGTCTCTAAATAAAATATAAAAAAGGACTGGGGATATGGCTCAGTGGTTGAGCACCCCTGGGTTAAATCCTTGGTACCAAAACAAACAAAAAACCCCAAAACTTGCTGGGCATGTGGTGCATGCCTGTAGTCCCAGATACTTACTTGGGAGGCTGAAGTGGGAGGATAACTTGAATCCAGGAGTTTGGGACCAGCTAGGCAACTAGCAAGACTCCATCTCAGAAAACAAAGCAAATGAAGCCTTTCTTCCATGCTTAGCTTCTACCTTCTCTCCTGTCTTCACCCATATTTCCTAGATTTAGTCTTCCAAGGCCTCAGTCCCAGCTTCAAGGTTCCTGGATCTCAGCATTGCTTCCTGATGGAACCTGCCTTGAATTGCAACCAGGGTCCTGATTCAGGAATTCTGCCATTTTCTAGGATTGTGGAATGGGTGGGGGAGGTAAGGCCTTAAAAAGGGGCCCACTTGTGAGGTCCCAGCAGGCTGTTGCATAGGCCTGATTTAATTCAACAAGCCTGTATTTAGTATTACTGTATAAAATCTGTGCAGCTGGGAGAGATGGATATAGAAAAAAAGTAAAGGCTATTATTGTTCTGTCCTGGAGGTTTATAAGCTCTAGTTCATTCATTTCCTTAACAAACTTCCTAAGTGAACACTGTAGGTAAAGGGATGATGTAGCGATCTCACAAGGTTACCCCAGAACCATTACTAGGATGCCTATAAGCAGCTTCTCCCTGGGTGATTTGACATAGGCAAGACTTTGCCTAAATGAGGGCACTTCCTTTCTTGGCCATGCTTGGTTGCTGCCTGGTATCTGGATTCCTAATGGGCTGGGTCTCCTCCACACCACCTGTACCTTAGTCACCCTCTTCAAAACAGGTTCATGGAATTTGAGGCAGAAGAGGAGCTGCAGATACAGAATGCACAACTGATGAATGGTGCCCAGGGATTGCCTCCTGCAGCCCCTTTGAAATCTGATCCTCCAGGGCCACCAGTCCCTGAGGTTTGCCAGCAGCCAGGTAAGGCTGCCCAATGCCAATAGTAGAAATGAGCCCAAGGCTTGAAGGGAGGCATACAGAAATCGGCTATGGATTAGGGAAGCACGGCCTTTGCTCCTGCCACTCTTTCTAGGAAGTGTATTTTATATCCCAAACAGAATGCCCCCTCAAGAAGCTGGGTTTCAGATTGCCCTTGTCCTGAATTAGGTATTGATCTCAGTCACATAAACTAATTATTCTCTCATCTAGACTGCAGATGAACTCCATTGTACCTTATCTGCCTAAGAAATGGGGAAAGAGTTCCAATACTGTGACTTTCTCTCATAGCCTCTGGCTTTTAAATCTTCTCCCATGGTCTGTACTTTTTCAGGATGGTTTGATCCAGCCTGGAATCATTTCAATGTACCCAGATTGCTGCCCTTACAAATAGATTTGGGAGGTAGTGGCCAAGGCTTCCTTGCCACTTCCCATTTCCCTAGTGCACAACCTGTACCACTTCCCACCCCTAGTGTACATTCCAAAGAAGGCAGCCTCCAAGGCACGGGCTCCCCGCCGGCGGCAGCGCAAACCCCAAAGGCCTCCAGTTCCTGAGGCACCCAAGGAGATTCCACCAGAAGCTGTGAGAGAGTATATTGACATCATGGAAGGGCTGGAGGGGAATCACTTGGCCACTGGGGAGTCGGATGGAAAACAGGAGGAGCAACAGGAGGAAGAAGCAATGTATCCAGATCCAAGTCTCCTGAGCTACATCGATGAGCTGTGTTCTCAGGAGATCTTTGTCTCCAAGGTGGGCTGGGCTGCTTTCTAGTAGGTCCCAGGGGTGGGCATGATGGGATACCAACCATTTGGGGTTCTGTCTAAGGCAGAAGGTAGGCTTTATTCTTTAACTGGTGGTAGTCATGGCCTTGTCTCTGGAGATCTTTGGCTCACAGGTTACTTCATCAAGGATTCACATCATTGTTCCTTCTATTCTCCAGGTGGAGGCCATTATTCACCCTCAATTTATGGCAGATCTGCTGTCTCCAGAACAGGAGAGAGATCCTTTAGCCTTAATGGAGGAGCTGGAACAAGAAGAAGGACTCACTCTTGCCCAGGTAAACCTGGGAGGTAGGGAGTATTAGAACAAGATGTTTTCAAGATTTTTTCTTAGAACAGCTTCAGGATTGGGCTTTAGGTGCAGAATAGTTAAAGGACTGTGGAAACACAGGAAATGAGAGAGTAAGGGATCCAAGCATGAGAATAAGACATGAGAAGGTAGGAAGAGCCGCAGTTATGTCTTTGATACCATCACTTGAGCCACAAGCTTTTCTTCCCTGTTCTGCCCAAATACCGTCGCTACCACCCACTCAGCCACCTCTTCTCACAACTATGTATAGAACTGGTATTTGTCCATTCTCTTTCAGCTGGTCCAGAAGCGACTCTTGGCCTTGGAACAGGAGGATGTGGAGACGCCTCCAAATTATAGTGCAGCTCAGTTGGTCTCGAGCCATTCTGTTTCTGATAAGGATGAAGGTGGGGGTGGGAGGCCTCGGACATCATCTGGGCCACAGCAGGGTACTGTTTGCCTTGGAAAAGCTGTTTCTTCAGGAAAGCAGGCAAGAGAAATGCATGGTGGGCAGCAGCGAGCTCTAGATGGTCTAAGGGGAATGCGCAGGGAGGGGAACACTCTGCCATCCTCGAGTTGGGACCTGCAGGTAGAACTTGGGGCTTCACAGGGAACTCAGGCACTCTTGGGTATGGAGAGAAAAGGGTCTAGGAAGGTCATAAACCAACTGTCACCACATCAGGAGGGCCACCTGGGAGGTGCTAGGTCCCCTGGGCACTGCTTGGCAGCTGACAGGACTTCAGAGGCTTTGCCCCTTTGCTGGCAGGAAGGCCCCCAGCCCAAGAAAGCTCCTAGTTTGGATGTTGAGCTTGAAAAGCCAGCTCCTCCACAAGGACAAGGGTTAGAAAAGCAGGGTCTGGGGCTGCAGACAGTACAACAGATGGGGGAACTTGAAGTGCTTCCTCAAGGGAAAGAGCCTTCAGCAGCACTCCAGGAAGGCTCCTCAGGAACCATGTGCAGAGATGACAGAGGTCCTCCCATGGTTCAGAACTGTGATCAAAAACCTTCCCCTGGAGCAGCTGGGGACAGGGACAGGACCTCTCTTAGCCCAGGACTGTGGCTGAGCAGTGAGATGGATGCTGTAGGCTTGGAGTTGCCCTTACAAATTGAAGAAGTCATAGAGAGCTACAAAGATGGGGAATGTATAACTGAGCATCAGGAACTGGGCTCCGGGAACAGCATTTCTCTGGATTCTGGAGAAACCACGGTGCCTAGGGATGTGGGGAGCAGTGTGGTTCCCTGTGGAGAGACAGATGCCACAGCTGCCCTAGAAAAGAGAAACTACTGCAGCTTGTCAGTACCTCTGAGGGCCAATAGCCCAGTCTTGGGACCCAATAGAGAACAGATCCCTGAGACAATACAGGACAGTGATCTCTGGGCTGAAGGTTGTTCTCCACTGCTGGAAAGCAGAGTTGGTACCTCCACATTGGGGTCTTTCAAAGAAACCCTGATGCCTGCATGTCAAGGCAATCCCATTATTCTAGGGACCCAGGATGCTTCCTCCTTCCCGGAGGGCAGCCAAGAGGCAGGGAGCAGAGGAAATCTCTTTTCTCCTCTGTTGGAAACCACAGAACATAAAAACATACTAAATGTTAGAGATAACTGTAACCTCCAACTAGGGGTCAGCAAGGATACCTGTCCTATAAATTTTACTTCTGATGATCCTCAAGGAGTGGGCAGGGAAGACAAGGGTTTGTCTAAGCTGAACGACCTTGTTCCTTTACAAAGCAATCAAGACACCTTGACACTGAGGGCCTCCCAATCAACATCTCCTCACCAGGGCCTTCAGAGCTCTTCCCCTAGATGGGGAACCAGGGATGCTTTAGTCTTGAGAGAAACCTCTCCTATGAGTAAAACACACACCTCAGATGTGATAAAAGGAGGGGAAAAGGAGGAGGGGGAAGATGAGGAAGATGAGGGGCTCTCTAACTTTACCTACCTCTTGGCCTCAAAACTAAGCCTGTCTCCAAGAGGGCCTCCCCTCAGTCCTTGCCAAGCCTCAGGAAGTCGGTCCATCCAAAGAGCATCCTACCCCTCCACTGAGGAAAGAGGCCTTAGCCAAGCTCCATATCCTGTCAAGTCTGGGAAGCGGGCTGTAGTTGGAGGTCCAGCTGCTGCTGAAAAGAGACCCCAATCAGGAACTCAACTTGGGGTCCCTGGGGAGAAACCCCTGGCTCTGGGAGCTGTGCGACCCTCACAGCCTCGTAAAAGGCGGCGTGACAGTTTTGTCACAGGCAGAAGAAAGAAACGACGTCGTAGCCAGTAGGAAGCAGAGGGACCATCCTGACCCACCTGCCAGTCCCAGAGGTGGGTGCCCCAGAGTAGATTTCACTGCTGCTGCTCACAGTGGAGAATCAACCTCAGCCCAGTGCTATTATGTTCTGCAAAAGTGATTGGTGAGGGAGGCGGGAGGTCGGATTGACCAGGTTGCAGGTGGTTCCATAGTTGGAAGAACCTTTGGAAGTTGTTGTATGGAATAAAATAAAGGTTTCTTTTGTTGGAGAATGCTCTCAATGTGCCCTTCTTCTACATGAACACCTTTGCTGCTAGATAGGGCAAGATGTCGTGAAAGTAGGTAGGGGTAGTTCCACAGTCTGGATCTAGGTACTTGATCCCGCCTCTCACCTTAACTTGGCTCCCAGCTTCCACTTGGCAACAGATATTTAGGTTGTGATAGGGGCCCCAAACAGAGTTTTCGCATGATCAGATCACTTTATTCATTCCATCTACACAAGCCTGGACTTGGCATCAAGAGGGCTTTTCTGGATATCCTACTGTTACTTACCTTTCCTTTGCTTTTTTATATATTAATATCTCTAGGACAGAGATCTAATTTCTTAAATCTAATTAGTATTCCTTATTTGTTTTTAGGGGCCTTCTTTTCTTCCTTGAAAAGATGCTGAACAGAAAGGACTCATGTGTCCTCAGCTCATCCTCTGGCAGGAAAACTGACCCACGTGGTTGGTCTGCCCTGTAACTGGGAGGCTGCTTCCTTACTGACATAGCTCTCTGCTCCCACTATGGGCGATGGAATCAAGTCTCAGTAGGATTATTAAATATGGAATGGTAGTAAGCTATTTTAATCTTTAATGAGGACAGAACAAGAGGGAATGGGCTAAAAAGAGGTTCATGAACTAGTCCATTAAAATGTGCATATTTAGGAGGTGATAACAGAAAGGGAGGGTATGAGATTTCTTTGTATAATTTCTGTATAGGAAAGAGCCCTGTCTGGGAGTGAGAATACTCCTCCAGCTATGGCTAAGAGGACTAACCTTTGGAACCTTCTGGGTCTTCCAATGGGCATCTTGTAACCATTCATCCTTTTCCTTCCCAACTAATGATGTCATCCATGTGACTGAGCTTCACTTTTTTTTTTAATAGATATATATTTATATTTATATATAAAATAGTTTCTTACAAAAAAACCCAACCAAACAAAAAAGTAAAATCAACTTAAAAAAATAACAACAACCAAAATCAAACAGGAGCAGAGATGGGGTTGAGGCATAGGGTAGGTCCCTGGCGCTGCCCTGAGTCTGCGGGGCTGGATTTGAGCTGAGGAAGAAGGGGTGGGTGACTGAGGCGCTCAGTCATCCTTCTGCTTGGGTGCTTGCATGGTCCCATTGGCCAGAGCAGTGGGGCTACCTGGGGAGGTGGCATTTGGTATTTGGGAGGTGCCTCGAGGGGTGTGTGTGGGGCACAAGTAGGTGCTGAAGAGCTTCCCATAGAGTGGGTCATGGAGGGAGAAGTTCTGGAACTGACCTGGACAAACAAGAGTGAGATGGGAAAAAGTCAAGACCCAAGAATGAGAAGAAGATGCCCCTGTAATCTACTCAGAACCAAGAGGTCCTGCCCCTCTTATCTGTTTAACTTCTCAAATCCAGGTTTTTGTCTGCTCTTCCCTTTCAGCCCATTCCTCCCAGCCTCAGCTCTCAAGACAGAGGTTTTATCCTCCAAACCAGCCACTAACCCTTGTTCCCTCTCAACCCATGCTTCCTTCTCCAAGTCCCTGGTACTGATGGTGCCTGAGTGCCCGAGCAGGCTGAGAAGGCAGTGACTCACAGAGGGAGAGGCCCTGGCTGGGTGCCTCCTGGCACAGCTCAGCATGCAAAGTTGTGGCAGCAGGGCGAGGTGAACCCAGTAGCAGGTGCAGGATGGTGCTGAAACCGTCTCTGTACAGCAGGCGGCCAGGCCCCTCTGCCTGCTCTTCAGCAAAGAGCTTGGGAAAGAAAGGGATGCAAGTCAAGCTGTGTCCCCAAGCCACTGACTCATCTTGCCCCACAGGTCTGCCTGATACGCTCCTCCTCTTCAGAAAGCACTTTGCATAGTCTCCCTCTGACCTTTACAGATCTTTTTGCAGAACTGTAAACTTTATAGCTTCTGCCCTCTTGTGGTTCCCAGCTAGACCTCAACAGAGACACCAGGGCTCTGTAGCTTTCGGAAGTGTGGCATGTGGTATGACACCAAGTGCCTACCATCTAGAAATTATTGGGAATTGTGCACAACACCAGCCTCCTGATATGGGATGAGCATAGCCACAAGTGCCCCTCACTTCCCGGGTACCTCAAAGGCTAGACGAGTCAGCTCCTCCAGGTTCCTGCCCCCATCCAGAGCTGCTAGTGCAAGTGCCACATCTCGGAAGTCCACCAAACCCTTGGCATCCTGCAAAGAGAAACCAGGGTGAAGCTCTCTGGATTTGGGCTCCTCCCTTTCCTAAGCAGGCATGGTTGTGATGCCTGTGAGCTCTAAACTCTGCAGGATCTATCTCAAGTCACTTGGTGACAAAGATCTCACAAAGAGATCTCCTAGGAATGTTAGGGAATCCCTCAGGAATGCCAAAGTTACTTACCATCAAGTATCTGACATACCAAGAAGGCACTCCTGGCCCCCAAGCTGGACAAACTGGTTCTCTCCTCTGACTCAGCCTATGTGGGAGAACTAGTCCCACAGATTGAAAGGGGACCACTGGCCTAATTTCTCACAAAAAAACCCAAGCAGGATGCCTGCTATTCAAGCTGTATGGGGGAACCACATAGGTAGCTCCTTTCAGGAACACACAGTGCTTCAATCTAAGGAATCTACAAACTTGATCACTCTGTCCCTTCAGAGAATGTTAAGAGCCATAGTCTGTGTCTTAAATAAAAAAAAGAGCTACTTGGGGCTACTGTTGTTCATAAACATTAATAATCTTTTAAAATTATAACTTGACAGGGAAACCTAGTTATATACTAAGGAAATACACAGTTTGCCAAGATTCTTGAGACTATTCCAGAGTCTCATAGAGAAGTCACAGGCTATTAGAAAAAATCTGCCCCAGAATTGAAAATACTCCTGGATCTCAAATTCTCCACTGTCTAACCTATCAGTGGTGTGAAGATCCTCACTCAGTGCCCCCATCTCTGCTAATCTCTAAAGTAGCTTCAGAAATTGATGGACCTCAGTTATGGTTTATTTTCCCACTTGTTCCTCCTGACAATAATTACAACACTGATCTTATGCAGGGCATGGTGAACATGCCTATAATCCCAGTCGGGAGGCTGAGGCACAAGAGGATTACAACTTTGAGGCTTACCTCAGCAACTTAGTGAGGCCTAAGTAATTTAGGGAGACCCTGTCTCAAAATAGAAAATAAAAAGTGCTGAGGGATATGGCTCAGTGGTTAAGTGCCCCTGGGTTTAATCCTTAGTACCTATAACAAAACAAACCACTGCTCTTCCATGCACTGGATACTCACAAAAAAATAAAATTAAAAAAAAAAAAAAAAAAATCTTCCAATGGATCTCCGAAGATAATCATCTGTCAAAGGCGGTCAGAATACCCAATGGAGACTCTCAGCTGGGCATCCTACTGATATAGGCCAGTAGGATATCACCTCTAATGCATGAGTATGTCAGCCTGGAGAGCAAGCCCTGGCCTCTGCCCTTTGTATTGTAGCTCCTTTACCTGCTGGAAGTAGCTGAAGGCACCAGCTACCGTCTGAGGGTCTGAAAGCTGTAGCTGCCTGGCAAACTCCTCTTGTCCAATCATTCGACTCCGGCTTGGCTCTGCCCCAGTGTCCACACAGCCAGGGGACAGCCTACAACAGAGTTGAAGGCAGAGCTGGATCCAGGATATACCTATATACCATGCAGTAGCACCCTGGCCCAGCCCCACACATTCTCCCAACATAGATTTAGCTACTGGATTTTTTTTCTCCTCTGGTACAGGTAATTGAATCCAGGGAACTGACACACTCCCTTGAAAGTCCTTACTTTCCTCACCTGTTAGCAGGTATCCTGTTTTTCCTCCCCCAGTTTCTATTAATCCTTTTACTTAAGAAGCTCCTTTAGCATCCCACTTTTTTTCTTAAGACTTTCCTTTCTCTCTCCTACTTCTCCCTTTTCTTTTTATTTTCTCTTTCTCTGTTTATGACAATGCTTGTACCTTCATCTTCAAGGTCACTTACCCTGCTTTCCGAAGCACCTTTCCCAGTTCCCAGAGCTGTGGCTCCAATGCCACCTTCAGCCGGCCCACCACAATCATAGGCAAGCTCCCTACAAACTCACATTCAGTGGCTGGAATGCCCAAGGCCCTATGGGATGAAGAGGGATGAGTGGAGAGGGAAAGAGGAAGCAGAAGAAATTCTGAGGGCTCATTATTGACTCTGGCCTACTGACCTGGGAGGGGTCAGGCTCCTTTATCTTTCCCCTTCTCAGCCTCAGCTATTCAATAGCCCTTCCCACTGCCAGGCCCCTAATCTTTGCCTCAAGACCTCCCCCATTCTCCCCCTCCCTGAGGTTCCTTTTTGCTGTGTATCTACTCCAGGAAATACTTTGTGGAACACTCACTGCGCCATGACCTTCTGGACATTGTTGGCGTAGAGGGTGGGGTCCTTGCTCTCCTCAAGGCTGGGCTGATACACAGGGAGGAACTAAAACAGACATGCACAATTCTTAGCAGGACTTCAAAAGGAGGGTGACCATTTCTACTCTTTTCCCATGGCTTTAAGAGTCCATGATGCCCTTTCTCCCACTCCACCCACTGGGTTCATACCTCCACATCCACAATGCTGCAGGGCTGAGAGGCTGTGAGCCAGAGAACTTTGAGTCTAGGAGAAGAGAGAACACCATGTTCACGTATCTCCAACTATGGGATGCTCCTCACCTTTAGAAAGGGAAAGTTCTACCCAAGGATATAAATAAGAATAAACCCCTAGCCACACAGTCAGCTGGGTCAATGTGCAGTTGAGAGACCATGAAAAGGTCCAGGAAGGTAGCTGGGAAAGACAGAAGAGTTTCAGGGG